AAAAAGAAAAATTCCTAGCACAACTAAAGAAAAAATGAAATGCCACATAACAATTAACCTATTAATGAACTAATCAGGTGAACAACATCAGTTGAACTTGAATTTGAAGACACTATTTAATGCCTCTTTTGTAGTAAGTATATCTCATACAAAATACATTACAAACTCGGTCATTAAGTTTTGAATTTCAGTCAATGGATAAAGGAACAGAATGTCATGGGATATTTGTTGAAACTGAACAACAGGAAAAGGTACAATTTTCTTCTAAATGACATCAAGGATTATTTTAAAAAAACAAATAAATGCAATAAAGGCATGGACTACAAAATATACCCATATATTTCCTCACAACATCTATTAATGTAGATATAAATACATACAAAAATAGGGAAAGTAAGCTTCTGTACCAGACAAAAAAATTTCCATGTCGCAGCTAAATTTTCTGATACACAATACATCAGAATCAGCAAATCCTGTAGCAGAGTTTCATTCCCAAATATTGGGAAATTTTTTAACTACATAGTGTAAATTGCCAGAGAGAGTAATCATAATATACAATATAAAATCATTTACTAATTAAAATACATTAAATAATTAAATGCCTAATTCACTGCACTGTTCATGTACGTTTATTTTTAAATGTTTGTAGTGATTATCAACCTGAAATGGTGATTTTGAACACTGAATACCATTTCCATTTATCTAACAATAGAGATAGAATCATAGAAATTATGATTTTTCAACAATTTTGATTAAAAGTTAAACACAGTTGAACTATCCCTATCCCAGACCCCGCAATATTATTACTGGTGGAATCTGATTGCTCAGTCATTTCACCATCAGTAATCTTTAAATAAAAGATGAAACATAACCTGCATGTCATTCTTTCCAAAAAATGTCGCTTGCAATTTCAGATAAAATCCTATAAAGCTCATGAAAATTTTACTAATAAATTATGAAAGCAAAATAATTCCCTGAACTAAAACCACACCTCAGATTATTACATCTAGTTCAAAGTTAATTTTCAAAAAAAAAAAATTCAGTCATGTTGTTTAGATGATCTCAGTCGATGGTTCTAGATGATGCATTTGATTGTTTCATCTCGGTCAACTAACATCACAGTTAAATGACACAAATGAGGAATTCCAACTCAAATCCTGTGTAAAGATTACATTTCTGTGAGCATCATTGCACGATTGAAAATAATTTTTGAGCGATAAGTTTGTAGTAGTAGTCTTTGATCTTTAGTTACTAATTCAAACCCTCTCACTAATAGTGAAATTAGTACAGAGATTTGAAATTAGAAACAGAACAAGCTCTTGGTAGGATTTCTGAAAGTCCTATTTAAAATGACTTATTACACAATTAAAAGTAAATTAACACATTCATTAATGAAACAAGTTTGATATAAAGGTAATAAAGTATTACTTTAGCTGCGAGAAATGTGAGCCACATGGTGCAGAGGCAATGATTTTTAAGTTTTATTCGATATGCATCATTCTAACTTTCATCTACAATCAAATCATTTTTATTTGATTTGATGTGTAGTACAATAATTAGAACAACCTGATTTTAAATGTTTTCATTAGGACAGTAATGTTGTTCCATTAGTTGACACAATGACTCTTCTCTGAAGATTTGTAATAAATTTCTGAAAGCATTTTTGATGATAAAGCGCATAAAACCTTTTACACAAGGGTGCTAATAAAAATTAGCACATCACAGGTAAAATACATTTTAACAATGTAATTTTTAATGAACCTAAAAAAAAAAATTAAAATACTGAAAAGAAATATTTCCCACCACAAATTATTATTCTTTATATACTTGTATTATATATTATACTTTTATATTATTATTTTGGTAAAACTGGTTCAAAAATAAAATAATTGAAGATTAATTTAAGTAGCTTATGTTATTCTCAGATTGTTCTCCTGGGGATAATTTTACCATTTGCTCACAATGCACTATGGGCAAACAGCCTTTACTGCACATAAAAGCATATTGTGTTCAAACTTTGGCTGATACCTCTAAATTTTCCCCTACCCCTCAGAATGCAGATTAATTAACTGACCCAAAGATGCAAATTGATATCAAATGAACTGACAAGAATTCAAGTGACATAATGTTTAACTTTGAACAAGTACTGTACTGATAAACTCAATCAGAAAGCTGTTTAACATTGTTAGGACCTCCATCAGAATAGCAGCTGTTTTGTTTCCTGTTTTTCTTCAATACCACATTCAAAATGTCTCTAGATACATTCAAATGAAATAAAATTTTAGAACATTCTTCATTCTCTAAATTTTGAAATGTCTAAAGCCTGAAAACAAAAATTAGAAACTGTTCTAAAACATGAATAAATTAGTACGCTACAGAGCAAATACCCCTTGCTAAACATACCACTGGCTAGTGCAGGTTTGCATATTTCACACAAATATTTTAAAAAACGTGTGAGTGTTTTGAATAAAGATGGAATGAAAGTAACAAATAGGTTGAGAACCACTACATGTACATTTTAACATGTAAAATTCACTTTTTGCTGAAATATGACAACTACAAAAAGAGAAATGTTTAAACATAACCATTCAAGTGAAATCCTCAATTTCTTTCATCACTGTTATCACTTAAAACATTTCCCTGCACAGGAGATGCAATTTATACATTTATGTCATTAATTAGCAAAGAAATAAATTAAATACAATATTTCCATAAATGGTTTTGTATGTAGACAGCACATTCAAATCCCAATCAGCAGTAACCCATTCAATCAATAAGTTGGAATTTCTTAAGTGCCAGTAAATTAAGTGCTCTCCAGAGCCAATCAAACATAACATTACAATTCTGAAAAGAAGAAAACAACAAGTCCTTTTCAAAAAACATTTCAAATATTTATTTTTTTAAAAAAATAACATACACAAAGCTCTGTACTGTGGATTTTTTATTTTCTAACAACTCCTAAATTACCTCACACATCAATCACGATCATCTTCAACATCTTCATCGGTAGTAAACTCCGAAATGTCACTTCCTTGACCTTCTTGTTCCTCCTCCTCATCATCCAACATCTCCCACTGTGGATGTTCTGTGGGTACTTCAGGAGCCTCCTTCACATCCAGCTGCAAGGAATATTATAAGGAATATCGTATCACATGCCATCATGTTACACAAATCTTTGCATATTTTACAAAACCCATTAAAACACACTTCACCACAAATGCAAAAAATTCAGAAATGCTTTTCATACTTGTCTGCCTGGAAGCACACTGAAATATTGGCTAATCAGGAGTTTCTAATTTCTAACCTAGTTTTCCTTCCTCTTCCTGCTTTGTAGTTTTTTTTTTAAATAAAAGGAGTATGAAGACATCCCAAATACAGTACTATTCCTTTAAAAAAATTCTCTTACTGTAAGGGAAGCTTACAATAGAGCTTGAATGCTGGAGTGACAGAGACGGCATAAATCGTATAAAGAGAGAAAAGGCAGGAAGGCCCTAATGAACACAGTACACATGATCCATTGAGTAGCAATGCACATTAGCATGTCAAAAACCACATTGTGTCATTATGCATTTATTATAAAATTGCGTTTACTCAAAAGCCGCTTTCGTCCGGAAAGTTTTGATATCAGATTTGGATTATACATGTCAAAACATATGAAACTACAAACTGTTTCAATTAAAGATATAAAACTTAACCATTTAACTTAAACAACACTAAGATAATATGAAAAATGTTTAATTTTCTATCAGTGTTCCCTGAAGTAACATTATACTATATGTAACCACTGAGATTTATAACAGGTGGCCTTGAACAAAAAGCGGTTATTGTATTACTGCTATTCTCCTGGTCTACCAAATATTTTCAAACATTTAAAATTATAGGTGACTATTGAAAATTGTTTAATACACTAACATTACTATCGGCTCTTGAGGCCACGCTACATTATGCATATGTAACCACTGCCAATGTTTCAGTTAGCTCTTAATGGCCTTCATGTCTTTCAGGGTTGAAATATGATTTATGTGCTGATTGACCTTTCAGCTGTGGAGAAGGTCATGAAAAGATGGTTGAAATATATAGCCAGATAACCAAAATCATTTTATCCATAACACTGCTGAACTGAGAATGTATGAATAAAAGTTTAAAAAAAGTGGATATAGCCCACATACAGGCAACCCTGGACAAATTGAAATGAAAACAGAAATTTAAAATAAGGAACACAATGAAATAAGAGATTCTAAAAATTTATTTTGCAATTCTTGCAAATTTGTATTCCAGGTTTTATTATTTCATAATGCTATAGAAATACTGGTTTTCTATTCACTTCTGTAATCTCCAAGAATTTCTGAGCCTTTCAGATAGAGATATCACCTCCACATGTACTGATCGAAAATTTCTCAGTTACTGCCAATAATATTAATACACAGAACTAACAGGAAATCCCATACATCAATTTCCATTTTATGGAAAATAAATTATATGCATCACTTTAAAAAAAGGAATGAATAAAAAATTGATTTCCTTTAAAATGCTTTTTAAATATTCACCTTTGACATAAAAAACAATTTTTAGTGAAATTTCTAGGAACCGAAAAAAAATCCATATCAGAAGAAATAAAATAAAAGAATGATTCTTGGGAGTACAATTATACACATTGATTTTTGGAATAGTGTATAATATCTAAGAGAAAAAAAAATAAAAATAAAAATGCTTACCTTAATATCATGCATTTGATCAAAACCCAGATAAGAATCTGATCTTAAGCACACTGTAAATGTATAAACATTAGGCCAACGTGGCGCAGTGAATTTTAACTGAATTTCTTCCTCTTCCACCAATGCTGTTACATGGTAGGGTGGCGTCAACAGTGTGTGACTCTTGCGATCACTAATGTAAACCCACCAATATTCTTGTTTGTCCTGTGAATGTTAAAAAAAAATCTAAAAATTTGGAAGTGAAAAGAAACAAGTCTTACATGAACACTAACTTACAGAAAGATGCAGTGGATTTCAAAAACAAGAAACCTCAGAACTTTCAATACAGTTTTTAAAATGTTTCATTATTTTAAGAATAAAGAAGAATGCTAACAATGAAAAACCATCAAAAAATCAAAGAAACCAACAAAAATTATCCTTCATTATCCAAGAATACAAATTATTTCCCCTCCTGTACAATTCATAATTTGTTTATTGAACATTTACATCGCTCTTTTTGATGTTTCTGTTTTAGTCAATCTTACAATATTATAAAAAAAAACTCATCAACAACATGTGTTGAATAATTTAAGAACAATTCTAAAAATGTGATGTCAAGATGACTTATCCACACATGGCCATCATCAAGGATTAGTCTCTAAGCAATTTCCAAGATCTGATGACCCCCAGTATTAGCCAGGAAGGAATTTTGTTACACTTGTGTTGTATCAGGTACTGCATGACAGGAAGTAGACCCATTGCCATGCTATTTGGCCATGAAACGAAGTTTTACTTTAGGCAGAAAAGTCCAACTCAAATTTTACTCAAAGATGCCTTTTACACTTGAAGTTATTTTATAAGCTGTGAAAGTTCAAAACAGGATAGACTGCTTTATTTTCTGTCTGAAGGAAAGAGAGAGAATTGTGGGTTTTCAGATCTCCAAACTTCTTCAGCTTCTATTGGGTTTGAACCCGCAAACTGAAGCACACAACAGTCAAACACATGAACCATTACACAAACCAAAGTCACTACTCAGAGATGCGACTCAAATACATACCTCTGGAAAAAGAGGACAGTGAACACTGTGAGACATTTTACTCCGGCCTTCTAGAACTTTCTCCCGCTTTGACAGAGGAGACTGGAATTTCTCCCACTCTGTATCATCATCTTCTACAGCTGAACCCTACACCCCCAACCAAAAAAAGAAAAAAAATCACTTATTGAGACGATTTAGAGTAAATCCTAATAGTAGACATGCTCATTCCCTTGCCTTTTTGTCCCTCTGGCTATTTTGACTTTCATCATCGTCTGTATGCTCAGCCTCATCGTCAGAAAGTTCACTCTCGTCACCTGTGTCCACAGGAGCCTTCTTGGGGGCATCAGACTGCACAGGAAACAGAAAAAAACATATTCCTTACAGATCACTGTTTACAAACAAAATTTAACTACACATTTCAGAAAATAATTTATTACCTCAACAGGTGAAGTAACAGGTTTTTCTTCAGTCTTCTTTACCGAAGTATTTTTGCTGTTTGGTTTTTGATGCTTTGGTCCTTTCTTTCCAGCCTTTTTACCTTTTTTTTGTTGTCTCTGCCACACAGGCTTTTTAGCCTTAAAAGTATTTCAAAATTGATTATACTTTCCACAAAGAAAAATCAAAATAAATAATAGCATCGTAGGCTTTCATGGCTGGAGTCAATAGAAGATAAATTTTCCGGGCTGGTAGGCCGTGGTCCAGTTGGCATTAAAGGGCCACATGTTTCGTCCATGACTGCGGTAGACATTCTCAGTGGCAGCAGGGTCACGGGTGCAGTATGCGGGGTGGAGGCTGGCAGGCCAGTTGCCAGCCAGGCACCACCCTGCACACTGCGCCCACACCATGCTGCCACTGAGGATGTCCACTGCAGACATGGACAAAACCTTTGGCCCTTCAAAGCCAACTGGTCCACCACCTACCAGCCCAGAAAATTTATCTTCTAAAATAAATAATGTTTAATTTTTCTTAAGAGAAAAATTATTTAAAATTAAAGTCCAAAAAATCATTAAATGCAAAAAGATGAATATAATAATTATTCACTCTTACTTTACTCAGGATGTAAGCAAATGCATGTGGTCATAGCTAATTTTCGTTCGCTGACGAACAACGCACTCCCCCTCAGGGCATTGTGTGCTATACAAGTTAAGTCCTTTCAGAATTGATTTATTTCTCGACTCTGTACACAAAGTTGAAATAATGTTAACTTTTGCCTTGGAGTGAAATTGAACATTGAGCAACACCCTACCAACAATACAGTTATCAATGGCCTTCTTTGAGGTAACATTTGTTAGCCGCCAGCCCCATGCCTCCATGCAGTAGGCTGCCTCTATCAATGTGTTAGCAGTTTCATACGAGACAACTACAGTTTTGACAACAGATTATTGACTAGTTGCAGTTCTGTTCTTCAATGATGTTCTACAAGTGTCTGCTGCATTTGTCTTGTTAGTGAAACGTAATTGCCAATTATGTTATGTAAAATAGATTTTTGTTACCATATCGAACACAATGAGTGAAGCAGTTCCTGATATGCCAGGTTTGAAACATTTGCAGGAAAATCCCTCAGAAGTGTTAAGAAGAAAATGGTTTTGCATGTTTTTGAAAAAATAGCAGTTAAAAATCCGACAATGACTCCACAACAGGTGGAAGAAATCACTGCTGAATTGACATGTGTCAGTGTCAGCACTGTTTGTAAAATGTGTTATTGGAAAGGTGTAGTAAACATAAGAAGAGAAGTAGAGCAAAACTGGTGTAGAGCAAGTGCGATGAATTTGTTAAATCTGCCATTTGCATTCATGTTCACTTTTTTTTGTAGCAACGAACAGCTAACATTAATATACAATTCTGGATACACTTAATAAAGTTTTGGCCTTGCCTAATTTTAAGGAAATGTCACTGTATGTCCTAAAAAATTATTTCACCACTAACTTGCAAGGGCCGATTGTAAATAGAAGTTCTTTGGTAATTAAGCAAAATATCTGCACTTTTTGGCTGATATTTTGGGTGTTAAGTAAAAGTGAAAATAGTATGTAATGGTATAGTACATAAAATATTCTATAGTAATAAAATATAAAACAGTAAAAATGAAAACAGTTCTTTCTTTCATGGTGGCATTTGAGAATGTGTACAAAAGGTGCATCCAATCATTGACTACAGGGCAGAGGGATTCATACAAATTTTGTTTACATGGTGAGTAAAGTTAGGGTGAATGGACCTTAGGCAATTTATTTATATTCCATTATCTTCCATACGTTAGAGAACATAGCTATATTTCAGACCCTGATATGAAGCTAACGCAACATTACACGGAACTGCAGTTGAGTGTTGTTAGTTTGATCAACTATTATTGGCAGAAGATTTGTACATCAGCTTCAGAAATACTACTTTCCTCTCAGCAGCTCAGTTCCAGCCTTTTAATGCAAACTGTATTTTAGAATCTAACTGCAGTCAAATTGAAATATTGATATGAGAAATGATAAAGATTCCCTCTTGTTGTCCAGTTCAGTGGATTTGAAAGTACTTTGCACAGCAAATTATCTGAAGAATACAAAAATGTGAATAGAAAATCGAGGGTGCATAAAGTATACAAGAGAGAAAATTATACTTATAAATAAGTATATTAATACCAATCTCAAATTCTATAGTTTGTTGACAAAAAAACAAAGCCTTGATCTTTTGCACTTTTAGGTTTTCAGATACCTGTTCTTCCTTTTTGATTTCCTCTTCTCCTCCACCACCAACTCCTCCTCCTTCTTGATCAGCTTCAGCGTGGGATTCATCAACATGTTTATCAGCGACTGTCTCATCCCCAAAGAGGACACTCATGTCCCTCCTATATAAAGTGACTGTGACAGTAACTATTGCACCAGCAGTATACACAGTGGGATTCTCATCATCAATCACTAAAAACAGATAAAAAGATACAAGACACCAGTTTTATAACTAAATGTTTTTAATTACGCAGGAATCATCAAACAAACCTTCTGATCTAACTTGAAAATCAATATATGGCATTTTTCCCATTACTTTCATAACGTCTTTGTACTGTTCATCAGATAAATGCCTCAAAATACTGCGCCTTTCTTCATTATTCAATTGTGCAAATTGTTGAATACTTTTTATTTGTCTCTATAAAATAAAATAATATTAAGATTAGAATATAACAAGAGATTCAATCTGTAAAAGAAATAGCAGAAAGAGACAAGGTATAGTGCTATGAGACATTTTAGGATATAAGAAGACAAATGAATTTTGTGTCTTCACAGAATTCAAATGACAGTTTCTGAAACAATAAGCTACTGGACAAACAGTACCATGCACTATTCTCCAATTAAAATTTCTCTACATTTGGTGAGTTACGACACTACACAACACAACACACTGTTCAAAGATATAATTTTTTAAATGAAATGAAACAACAGTACTCCCTCTCCAAACTCACTAAGAGTAGAGAAATTTTAATTGGGGAATAGAATAGAATAGAAATAGCACCATAGGTGTTTACATTTGATACTACCATCCAATTATAAATTAACAATTATAATAGGGGCAGCAGAAAATAGGATAAGGACTTCTCTTCCCATCCAGTGTTTTCTCTTAGCTCTATAATCAGTTTCTCATGCCTTTTAGTGGTATAATCATGCTTTGTAATCAGTGTTCAAGTCCTATTGGTATTTCACAATGGTTTCTTCTCTAGTTCATGCAAGTAAATATTTCAACAGTTCGCAAGGTTTGGCAGGGAAAGGCACAATACACGGTGATGAGCAATAGCTGATCAAAGAAGCTCCAAATAAAGAAGTTTACTAAAGCACCATGACTGTGAGCAATATCTCCAATGAGCAAGGCGAGAAGATAACTTCACTTAATGTATTCACAGCAGTTTTATAAAATTGTAAGCATGTTATTCCACCCATATACTATGTTCAGTGACAATAAAAATGTTCCACGGAAAACTTAATTTATTTATGATACTGCAACCTTATAGGTGCTAAGGTTACAGCTGATCACATTCAACAGATTTTGGCTCTAGCCAATGGGCTGTAGGTAACACAGCACTCCCATTTTGGTAAAATCTGCTGCCTGACAGATTAATTAAGTCTCTTTGAAATTAACTATTTTTCTGCATTTTGAGTACTACCAATACTTTTTTTAAATAAAAGGAAGAAAAATGTCATTTTATAAATCCATCTTTGAAGAATAATTGAAAATAAAAAATAGAAAAAGATTGTTTTTAAATATTTACCTTTTTGGTGATGAAGTATTTAAGATGATCGTCACAAACATGAGGAAGCTGCAGCAAGGGACTCTTATATTCCCACAGCCCTTGAACTATCATTGGGCAAAGTTTCATGCAGTTTTCAATAGTTTCAATATTAGGTAAACGAGGAACTGAAAATGTTATAAACATTTAAAAAATCTAAATTTAAGAGAACTATTACTAAGTTTAGTTTATATCCATACATTAGAAATGAAGAAAGAACTTAATACCTTGAACAGGTCAGAATATACCAACAACTCAGAAGATTAAAACAATAACTTTCCCCTCCTATATTTTAACTACTACGTTATTGTATGTTAGTAAACTTTTCCAAAAATTTTCTCACTTATATACATTGTAGGCTGCAATTGTGGCACAACTCAAAATATCGTGTGTTGAGATACTGAGTTTAAAGTTTTAACCTAGTATTGAAATATATCACTCTTGCATTCACAGTTCTGATATTAATTGGTGGAATATTGTTCTGTAAGACTTGCTGCTGATGCTGCAGGAAGATAGACCAATCTGCAATTCTGAAAAGCACATTGACTCAAAATTTGTATTTTTTGAGTTGTGCCACTACTGAAGCATATAAGCAATATCTGGTGCCTTCACAAAACAAATTCTAAAACACCTTGTTCAAGTAACAAATGAGCATACTCAAAAATTTCTTTTTCGAACTGCAAAAAGACTAACAATCCAGGAGAAATTGGAATTTCTGATAAAAAGTTAATTGCTTTGTATTTATTTCTAATTGCCTACTTACAAATTTACAATATACTCTGTTTTATGGTTTGTATATTAGGGTTTTTGTTAAAAAATGTGTTATTCTTTTGGAAGCACTCAATCCTAGCCATATGATTAAATGAAAACTAATAAAAATGAACAAAAGGCAACAGGCAACAAATGCCACAGCACAAGCACTAGTGCTCTCTCTGACCACGAAAGCAGATGAAGGAAAAAGAGCAATAATTTATTAGAGATTATAATTTATTATCCAGAGATGTGTCAACAAATGATTATTGTTACATTTCAAATGTCAGTTTTAATAGTAGCAAGAAAGTGAAATCATGTGACAACTTCTATCTATTGATGTGTATAAGGGTCACAAGCACATGTGAACATTCCTCAGATGCATTTTGGTCTATGATCTATCTACTAAGTTAACTTTAGCGAATTCTCAATGCAATTACAATGAACATAATGCAAAGCATATAAGACTTATTTAGATGTTAAAATTACATTGAAATCTAACCGCAACTATAGTGACATAATACTTCCATTATATCTCAAGAACCTGATGGCAAATTTTTACCCAAAATAATAAGGTTCTTCTAATCACAACAAATATTGTCACTAAGACACAAAAGTTAAATTTATTTATTTGTACTATAACTCCCCCTCAACATGAATATTCTACATCCAAATGCCATTGAAACATTGATTGAATACAATAATGTCGGGGAACAAATTTTTCAGTTTACAACTCTTCAATTTATAAATAAAAAATTATAAATTGTATACTTACTTCTGCGAGCATAAGCTAAGAGAATTAACTGAGACACACAATTAACCATTTCCTGGATGAGGTAGGGGCATTTTTTCACAACATACTGTCTATCTTTATCCAATGTATCTGGTTTCAATGCAATGCGATGCAGATGAGCATGTAGCAAAGCACGGGCTTTAATAGAATATAATGCACAAAGTGGTCGCTCTCTATTTTTCTCACTCAAATTTGGTATCTGCTTAATTAACTGGAGGACAGAAATAAAATTATTGCTTACATAAGAAACATAAAAACAACTTTAAATAAACCACATGAGCTGTAAACCCTACCTGAGGTACTTCTTCATTATCACTAGGCCGTTCAACTATCTCACCATTGTGTTTCTTCTCAAATTCGAGAGATGCTCCTAAGATCATTATAACTCTTTTAAGAGCCATTGAAGGAGTTTTGTGGAAGAAATAATAATACATCTGGGTAGTATCAAGAAGAACCTAAAAACAAAAACAGATATTGGGAATAAAAAATTATACATGAGAGAAATTAAAACCCGTGGCACATCCAAAAAGGGAAGGGAGCTCACGTTATGTATTGAATTATTGCTTACATTCTATAAGTCAACAAATAAATATACATTTTAAATTCAGCATAAGTATGAACAATTCTTTATATGAAAACATCAATTTGACAGGAAACAATACCTTATCCCCTCCAGAAAAAAATATTGGATGTGCCTCTGATTAAAATTATATAAAAATACATTATAAATATTTTCAGATATGAATTCCTTCTCTTATTTTAAAAAGACTAAGTCGTAAATACTCAAAAAGTATTTTATAATTGAGTTTTGTTTGTTCTTAAGAATACACTTTCCCAAAACTCTTGCAAAGGGGTCATCCACAAATTATGTAACGCTAAGGGGGAAGGGGGTGAAGTAGCATTACACTGCCTTATATAGGGGTAGGGAAATCATATAAGTGTTATGTGATGCTGACATTATTATTTAAAATCTTTCAACATTAGCAAAAACAATTCTTTTTTTGTCTTATACTAAAACATTGTTTTAATACATTAAATTAAAAATGTAATAAATTAAAGAAGTTATATTCTACAAATTGTTACAATACACAAAAATATTTTTCATCAATGATATATCGCCTGAATCCTTTAGATTGCGAACAAAAATATTCACAACTTATCTCTAATATGGTATATTCTAGAATTCACATCATTCTTTCATTATAAAATTATCCCTAAACTTATTGTTATGCACAGTCCACACCACCAACTAATTCCCATGGTAATTATAATCAATTTTAATGTATGACAAATACAATTAATGCAAGTCATTTCTGCTTTATATTTGAGTTTAACTATATATCGGCTATAACTGAGCTTTACTTATTGCAAGTAGTTGTTGTGTTGTGTAAGGGGGCTATTTTCAAGTGTTATGTAATTATTAGAGGGGGGTTCAAATGTGCGTTACAGGTGGGAGAGGGAGTATTCAAATAACTCCATATTTGAATTACATAATTTAAAGACAGCCCCAAATAAGCATTTAGGAGGAGAAAATTCACTTTTTCTCCTCCTTACCTACTTCAATATTTGATGATAACGTATAATTGAACCAATTTAAAGGTACATGAGCTTCCAAATGTTTCTTAATTTTTCTGAAATTCTTTGAAGTGTTCTAGTTCAAGTGTGTTTGTGAGAAAAATATACATGATTTCCAATATGAATTCAGTCAGAATTGATACAGAAGCTCACATTGAAAGAATCCACACAACACAAGCCACATGGCCTACACTGCAGGCAATACACTTAAATCTTCCATGAATCTTTCACTTTGATATTTACTCTTATGAATTTTTGCAATAAGTGTTCTAATCACATTTTTAAATGCAAAAAACCTACCTGATCTCCAGAATATCGGATAGACTTATACCACCACATGCCTACAATTGTTGGCAATGCTACCATGAACACAAGAGCATACAATCCCAGCACCTGAAAAAAATTCATCAAATGTCAGTGAAGACAAACTGATTGAAAGACTCAGTTTTTAATAACTATTTCAATGGAAAAACTTCATACCCAGACAGAATTCTCTTTCTCAATAATCCAAGATGGAAGAGCAATGCCAAAGCTCATGGCACCAGGCCCATCAGGATTGCCATACTTTTCCCAATTTCTGCGAGCTTCATCATCAGTCAGGGCCTGATAGGCTGAAATAGTGTAATTTTATTGCTTTATTATTTAATGACAAGTAATTACAGGAAAATTATTTTGTAAAAACACTTACATCATTTCATATCATTTTGTTGCCAAAAATTTAAATAAGCAGTTGAATGCATGCCTAAAACCAATACATTAAATAGAAAACTAGAATACCTTTAGTGAGTTTCATAAAAGCTTTCTCATCACCAGTTTCTTTGTCTGGATGAAGAATAAGAGAGAGTTTACGATAAGATTTTCTGATATCAGCTTGAGAAGCTCCCTAGAAAAGTAAATTTTGAAAATATTATTCAAGAGAAAAATTAATATGATAATTTTGAACTCACCGCTAATGCTCCTACACTTACCATAGGCACATGAAGAATTTCGTAAGGGTCAAAATTAGCATACTCATAGTCAAATTGAGATACTTTATAAGCTAACAAAGCTAAAATTGCCCAGCCCGAAATTATCATCAATTTTCTGGAACACAATAATTGTTAATAGCAACTTGAGAATAAAAATAATACATAAAAGGTTGTTACTTTTCTTGTTTAGATCCTGATAAAATTTCTGACTGAAGAGCTAATGAACAACACAAAATTAGAACCTAGAAGACCTATAGAACAACACAAAATTCTTTAATTACCTCACCAAATTGCCTCTTCTACCCTAAATATTCTTCGAGCGCAATATAAAGCGATCAAATGAAAAGGAATCTTTATCTCTAAAGACCATACTACTGAAGATATTCACCACAATATTTCTATAATACACATTTGCTCCTTTGCAACATATGGGGATGAATAACATCACAGATGAAGTCAATCATATCATTGGAACCAATCTCTCAGAAATGCACACTTAATAACAAACTTCATTCACAGATTCCACTTAATAACTGACTGTGTCTCTTTGGTAGTTATGGCACAGTAAACTCTCATGTGTGTAAGAACTGTAGGTTAGGACATAAAACAATTACCACATTAAAGTATCATTTGACACAGTTCTGAGCGTTATCACAAAGTAAAATAATGACTGTGGAGTCATCCATGATTCTTTAATTTGATTCAACAACAACAACCTTGTTGATTGAAGAAGTCATCATAAACTTGCCGAAGCAAAAGGTATATCTAAACTCTTTAAATTCATTGATCCTACGTTTCCTGACAAAGGACATGCTGTTTTGATTTCGACTAAAGATGGTAACCTACCACTGTGCCAGAAACACCTTATCAAAATAATTTTCATTTCATTTAAGAAATACAAACCAAAGGGGGGAGGGGGATGGACTCAATCTCTATCTTGGTGTAAATAGTGTTTCATCTTTTACAAATACTATTTTCAGATTTTTTCTGAACTTTCCAACTTCAGTTGAGACTAATTGAGCCTGTGTGGCTCAGTGGTATGGTGCTGGCTTCCTGACCTGAACAATGAGGAATTGAATTGCAACATAGGTTGGGATTTAAATTCGATGATTTCAATTCGGGGTGGCTCTGAATTCAGCCTTCTTCCCAAGTGAGTATCAGGATCTTTCCTGTGGGTAAATGTAGCTGGAGCATTGTGCTCCCCAAACAAGCTCATGTCAATAGTGACAAACCCTACATTCACATCCTCCTCGGGTCATATCAGCCTGTGTGTAATTGCATGGGAGCTCCTTTACTTCCACATTCACAAATGAAGATCCCTTGCCATAAAATTTCCAGAGAAAAAAGATTACTTTCCATTTTATTGCTCTTTATATTCGTTTCATATTAATACTATTTTGGTTCATTCTATTTTTAAAAACATTGATGTGTAAAATTGACAAATACATAATTAAAAAGCTAAATTTAAGGGTAAAATTACTATTTTCTTCACTTGAAAAACTCGTGTAGATAAAACAATTTTTTGCCATTATTTGTGTTTACTGAAATTTTATAGTATGTAAAAACCATTTCTAGTGGAAGATTCTATATTAGTTACAAAAGTGTACAAATATTGCAGCCACACTCACACAGCTAGTTGTTTTGTTCCTTTCCATGGTTCATTCGATCGAAGTATAATTTTTTTCTTTTTGCAGTTGTCACATTGGCATTCTTTCTCCAATTTTTCTGGATCTGTGGAAAAGCCTTAACATGAAACCTTGAACGATCAATGCAAACATTCCAGGGAACATCATGATATAGAGATTCTGAAGATGGAAAAACTTATTATAACATTTAATGTAACATAAAATAAAGAAAATGGCAAATATTATAGCAATGAATAAAAATTAAAATACACAAACAAGTTCAGATAATTAACATACTGTCATATCTTTAGACCTTTTTATCATTAATCACCATTTTCCCTTTTCTTCCCGTACACTACTGTCATTGAACACTGCTGCTAATTATCACAAAACTTAAACGAATTAACTGTCATTTTCTGTTTATATCGTTCTTCGTAACGTTCAATCCAAAAACCGGGCATCTCAAGGGTATGAATGTGGATTTTATTGGCCAAATGTGGCCTACAAGAGCATATTTTAACGTAAATAAAGTCAGTCGCCTCTCTGATTAGTAAAAAATGCATTACATTTAGAGGAAAATACCTTGCTTGGGTTTACGTGGCCACCAGTAGTAAGTGCTAGGAATTAGTAGCAGCGCTAAAAATGAGAGAAGGAAGTAGAAAAACGTTCCTCCGCTTTCATCATACTGAAATTTTTGTCCACCCATGATATATTATAGGTAAAATATTGGCAAGGGTGTTTTGTAAGTCAAGTCTATCATCCACATCAGTCGCGTAGACGTTCTCCGGTTCCTCACCCCTCACGGAGACCAGACCACCAGCGCTCACGTCCACGAAACGGTATATTCGTCAGGCACCGTGGGCACGACATCCAAAGCGACTCAACGGTTCCTAGAAAAAGAACGTCACGGATCCGACTCGTGAATCCATGTATGTATACTGAGCACGGTGTAAGGCAATTCTCTTTCCCCGTGATTACTGTGCACCAAACATTGAATGTTTACGGTCTAAACCCACAAGTATCCTACGTATTTGTAATGTACACGTACAAAATAATGTTTTGGGCCACAAAATAAAGTAAAAATTTCCTTGCGACAATAATAAAATTAAAGCGGCAAAGGGATATCCAGAACTCGTGACTTCAAGAGCAGGTGAGGTGGCCTCTATCGCCTCTGGGTGGCAAGTGTCAAATGCTTGATCACACAAGTCAATAACTAAATACTGTACGTGGGTTGATTTTCTTTTAGTATATTGAGATCTTTCTTCGTTCGAGGTTTTCACATGTATAAAATGATTTTAAAACTTTTTGGTTTAGTAAGTTGTTTCTCCAAGAGAATTGTTCATTTTTCTCTAAAATAGCTGTTTTTCCATTGTAACAGCAGTATGTGATGGTGAGCTTTGGCGGGAGGGGCAAAGTAAGCTTTTTTATATAATTCTGTTGCGCCTTTCATTGGAACAACGAATCTTACCCATCTTGGCGGTCGAGCGTATATGGAGTAAACCTTGGTTAAATGTTGTCTTGTCTTATAGCATCGCAGTCAGTAATTGCTTTTTATCCCTTCGGCCAAGGGCTGGGTGCCGTTAGTAACTAGGGTTACCGGATGGTCACCCTTCCGGGAAACCGAGGTGTCTAGAATGGCTTAACTTCCGCAACTTCGGTCGCAATACGACCAACGGCGCCGGCTTTTTAATGCTTGATTCCTTTTCAGAAATTGGGAAAATAAAATTATATCACTTTTTAACTTTAACCTTAAACAACTTTTCTAACTTTAAAGTAACTGTTAACCTCAAATAACTATTTGAGGATTACAAATGCCATTTATCATGTTGTCCAACCAGGTTGTCCAACTGGCGGCCCGCGGGCCACATACGGCCCGCGATTATTCAAAAGTAAAAGTCCTGTACAATCATGTTGGACGAGATCATTATGGGCCTAGCGAACGCGCCCGGCCGGGGTAATCAATTATGTCAAAATAGGTGAGTTTTAGATTTAAGGATTTTTTTCTAGTAGGTTCAGAAATTCAAAATCATCCTAATGTGTTTCACTGGGTTATGAATGGTACGGCCTGATATCACACATGGTTCCGTCATCCCTCCCTCCTTTCAGAGCAGCTGGCAAAGTTCCGATAAATTATTATAAATTATTTTTGTTCTATAAATATATAAGAAAGATCTATATATTATTTTAGATTTGCGTAAAGTTTTAAACTATTAGTGAAAGTATTGTGATAATTGTAAAAAACAACAAAATTCAAACTTTCATCTGTAACAGTAACGGAAAAACCTGAACTTTGTGTTTCAAATTGCCGACTATAAAAGTGGTGAATTTTCTGGCCTTTCAATAGCTAAAGTATAGTAATCTAATTTGAATTCATTAATTTGCAGCTTAAAACACATTGAAATTCTTTCGCATTTAATTAATCAGTCACAGCCACATCAGTCTTGTGGCAGTCGTTGGGTGCAGTCGTTCCTTTCGAGAGCTCCTGAGGATTAGGATGGGTTCGTACCTGCAAGAGTACCGGGCGCGGATCGGCGCGTGGGCCGGGCGCCTTTCCTCGTGTGCGGCGCGCGCATACCAGGGACCGGCCACGTGGCTCGGTGACGGTGCGCTGGGAGCAGTCTCCTTGAGTGCGACGGTGATAGCTATGTTGCTAGTGATCGGGGGAATCGAACAAAATCCAGGTCCAGTCGCCAGTACTGGCTAGTGCGTGTGAAAAAGATTCAAATAGTGTGTCGGAGGTGCGGCAAGAACCTCTCTTCGGGCTGGTGATGCGAATCCTGTGGCAATTGGTTCCACAAAAGTTGTGGCAACGTTAAAAGAGGGAATGGTGAATGATGTATTTGTCCCAAATGCAAGATTAACTATGTGCAACGCCTGGAAGAAGAGCTTAGATCTGCGCGAAGAGAAATAGCAGACCTTAAGGTGGCTAATATAGCCCTTAATGAGCAACTGACGGAGTTGAGAGCTAAAACTGATACTCCATCCGTGCCTCAACCTGTAGATGAGAGCACTAGAGGATCCTGTCTTGTATTAGGAGACTATAGTGCGGCACGTGGCAAAATAAGATAGCAAATTGCGCGTGGAATGTTTGCCGGGCATCCGTACGGAGCAATTGAAGCGTTTTTGTGCAAAATCATGACCTTGGAACTCGCAATAAAATAGTGCTTCACGTAGGTCCTAACGATTTAAAGGCAAAATCGAATGAATTCATTATGGGAGAAATCTACGATCTTGTCAATGCTACCAAGATAAAGTTTCCACGCGCTTCTATCGTAGTAAGTAGTGTTCTACGACGCCGAGACATGTCCTGGAGGCGCATCGGTCACATGAATGAATTAATGAGCTAGGTTGCCGAAGCACATAAGGTCAATTTCGTTGATCCCAACTCCTGGGTGCAAGATTCCGACTTTGGTCTCGATGGAGTCTTAAATCGAAGAGAAGCAGACATTTTAGGACAGCTTTATTCGCGTGTCTGCAACTCTATGCCGTGTACTGCTTGAGAAAGATAAGTGGTGACTAACATGGTTGGAGGGGACACGGTGGCGAGGTACGAGATGGCGACATAGGACGAGACGGCGGTACGGGATAAAGCGGCGGTGAGTGACGAGTCGACGGTGGTGCGGGGCGAATCTGTGACTCAGGAGATGGCGGCGCGGGACCAGACTGCGACGCTGGACGAGACGGTGGCGGGGGACGAGGCTGCGGTGCGAAACGAGACAACGGAGGGGGACGAGACGGCGGCGAGGGACGAAACGACGGCGTGGGACGAGACGGCGGTACGGGACGTCGACAGTTCAGGTGAGGGTATTCTGCGACTGCTGCAGGTGAATTGTAGGGGTATCCTCTCGAAAATAGTTGAATATGAAACGTTAATTGACACACGCAGGCCTGACGTAATAAGAGGCACAGTCTTGGCTCACAGAGGGGATAAACGCAGAAACATTTAGTCCGAGTGTCATTACGTACAGAAGGGATCGTAAAAATAAAATAGGATGGGGAATTTTCATTTGCGTAAGAAAAAAACATGAACAGTTTTGAAATATTGACCGATGATGTACATATATTATTAATATTTTAGGTGTTCACTTACGGGGTATAGAGAACAATACGATCTTAAATATAGTTGCGGTATATCGTGCTCTTAACGAGAACTTGTCAGCAGTACATAAATTAGTATAAATAACTAGAAATCCTGGGCTACTTTAAGGAAATTTCATAATTGGTGGAGATTTAATTTACCGGGTTTATCGTGGCAAGGTGTGGTAGATGCAAAAAGCTATGGATAATCCCTCGTTAACGAACTCGTTTGGGACAAACGGATTAACTCAGGTAGTTGATGTTCTACAAGAGCTAGCACGGTGCTTGACGTATTTGTAGTTCACCCAGGGCAGATGTTGACAGCTTAAGAAACACCAGGTATTAGTGACCACGAGGCAGTGCTTTTGCAGGTGGCGTGGCAGGACACTAGGTACTCGAAAAACACGCGAAAACTATTATTTCAGTACAGTCGTGCTGACACAAAAGGTTTTCAGGAATAATTATTAGGGAACTGCGACGTCTGGGAACCACATGGTAGAAACGTAGAAGAAATATGAAACTCCTTTAGGCAGAGAGTTTGTGCTAACTAAGATAGTTAAAGAAAATAGTTCCAGCGTATTACACGGCTAATATCAGAAAACTAAAAAGGAAGGTCAGAAAAGCGTGCATATATGTACATACACACACACACACACACACACACACACACACACATATATATATATATATATATATATATATATATATATATATATATATATATATGAGTGTGTGTGTATACATGTATATGTGTGTATATATGTGCTATAGATGTATACAGGTCTGTGTATAATTATATATTGCGTATATATGCTCGAAAGGAGTGTATTGTAAATTGTGTTTGAATTGTGTGTACATATATTGTAAAACTGTTGGGTTATGGCCACCACCTGGCAATCAGCCAATTGTAGCCATATTATTATTTTTATTATTATTTTTATTATTATTATTATTATTTCACTCGCAGGTATCATTCGCTCGCAGGTAGTCGCCGCGTGCGGACGTCTTTCGAGGAGCTCCGCGAAGTGAAAGGCAATGGGCGTGGGAATCTTGGCTGTGTAACCGAGCGGCGTGTTGGGTGCATTGGCTGCGCGTGCCCGTCCCGGTCGGTGGCTTCGACCGCAACGGGGCGTTCTCGGGCTTGCGGGAAGGAGGCGGCGTGGCTTACTTTGTGCAGTAGGTGTTTTGGCACTCTCCTTGGTGATAGGAGTGACGTGGAGCAAAATATCCTGGTCGGTGTGTCAAATGACTCTCGGTGTGTGAATAAAGTCCAAATCAAATGAACAGGCAGAAGTGGTTCTGAGTGTCATGTAGGAACTCAGACGGCGGAAACGGGCAACCTGTTTACGACACAAATTAACACAATATTCGAGAATAGGGCAGCCATCCGAACTAACATTAAAAATGCAGGGTCATTGTTTTCCGGAAGTTATGCGCCGTAATGAATGTCCACATTAGTAAGAGACGCGGGTCGTAAATTGTGGATTATTATGGGCTTGTGAGAATTTATTGGCCACTCGTCGATCCCCCAAAGTCACTGGCTCGGGCACGAACAGACCTAGGATGGACGGCCCTTCTATTCTCAACTTCCGAGGTGCGATGGAACTGGGATGTCTTCACGACCAAGTAATATCGGTCGTATTTACGTGGATAAATGGATGGAGAAAGAGGCAATGATGTCGCCAAGGGCAGTGATGGTTGCCTAAAAAGAGAGGATGCGTTTGGAGACGCTGCGGGGGGTATGATCGGAGCGAATGCTCAGTCTGCTGCTGCGGGGGAGTGACGGAGGCGTCGCATCTGACTGCTTGGCGGGGGAGGTGGACGTAGGCGACGCATCTGACTGCTGCGGGGTAGGTGTCGGAGGCGATACGCATTGCTGGCTGCGGGAGGTGAGACGGAGGGCGACGCAATCTGAACTGCTGCGGGGGAGGTGACGGAGGCGACGCATCTGACTGCTGCGGGGGAGGTGACGGAGCGACGCATCTGACTGCGGGGGGGATGGTGACACGGAGGCGACGCATTCTGACTGCTGGCGGGGGAGAGAGGGCCGTGACCGGCGGCACAGGATCTAGGGATG